ATTTTCTATGGTTGTTTATCAAGAAAGAATAAATGCTTACAAGCACAGATAACCGAAGGTCGTTTGGATGTATAAGCAAATATAAATCTGTGTATATATGACCAAGATCATAGATAGGAAGGTTACTATGTCAAATCTGATATGCACACGTTCCCTGCAATTCAATAGGATTGTGCATGTTTGTGTGCGTAATATGGGACACACACATAGACTAAAAAAGTAAAAGACAAATTCGGAGATAAAGCGAATAGGTATCTTCAATGTCAAAAAAGCACTTACGTCAACAGATTGTCTCAAGTGACCAACACATTCGTTTATGTTTTTGTGGTCAAATGGCGCATGTTCGGAAGCTCGTTTGATGGGGTTCTTCGCCACTGTTGGTAGGTTCAGTGAGGACGACATGGTTTACAAGTATATATGTAGCACACAATAGTAGGAATTGACTGATGTTGTTGCCAGGATGCACCAAGGTCTGCAGACAGAGGACCACACCAAACTGCTTTAAACTTATCACTCTGGTTGACCGGATAGTTTCAGAATGCATCCAAGTCCTTCATCTCATGTTATATAAATAATAAGTGCATATTTTTAGTGGTTTGTTTTAAGTAAATATGCAACCATTGCTAATCAACCTACAATATCTATTTATAGATCCGTCGGGCGTATTGCATTATGATTGGTTGGATTTACCGCGGTTACTCCTCTGTCCAATGTAAAGTCCGTTGCATGGTCTCCGCTCAGGCCTCAGGGCGCTTAAGTATAACTATATCATAAGTTGAGACTTGAGCGACACGTATTAAACGCAACATCCGATAGTCGACAGCTCTATCACTATAGAATACACTAACATATTAATAGCTCGTGTAGGTACGCTGTATATGCACACTTGATATCATGTGTGTTGGAATACACCAACACTGCTACGACCACTCCAAGACCACTCCTACATGCGTTGGCAATCCATACACACACGCGCGAAAGCATATCTGGATGGCTTTCCGCAACGATAGATCTTCACGTATGTGTACCATACCACAAACCTGCCGCTTAATCGAGTAAGATCGGATAGCCGTACTCTAAGATAACATATTTATAATGCGATATCGTACACTAGCATATCGAAAGCTTATTGACTTTTTGGATGTTTGCGAATGATAGACTATAGTACCCTTTGCACGAACAACGCTTTGAATCCACAGACCAATACCAAATACTCGAAACTTACATCAATTACTAGAAGCTTATAATAAACACTGATATCAAACACTGTAGACCTATAGATAACACAAGAGACTCATATCATGCGCTAGAGACAACTATCAAACACTGTAAACATATGCCAAACACTAAAGACTTGTATCAAACACTACCTATACTTGCAGGTCTGTCCCAATGGAAGATCCCACAGCCGAGAATATGGTGCGTAGTGCGTCTATAGTGCTAGATGAGTTATTTAACATGTGCGTGAACACGAAGGCACGTGAAAATCTATACACATACGAGGCTAAGCCGCCTAATAATTACACACTCAGCCGCATGCTGGACAGTTTATCGCGTGATGTGAGTGATTCAAGCGCGCGTGCGCGTGCATGTATAAGCAAACGTGTGTGCGCACAGTATGGAGAAGGGTATTTGAGCACAAACGATAAGTGCAAGTATAGTAAAGATTGTGTTTATGAAGAGGATAGTGTAGAAACAGACAACGATGGCGTACTTACGCGTGTGGACAGCTCAGAACCACAGCAGAGTATATATATTACCAAAGAATGTACGAGCGAAGTGGGTAGAGCAAGTAAAGCTATATTACAAGTGAAAGGGCAGGCACAGCTGGTACATACAGCGCTATACTTAGAACAAAGGGACGGAGCTGCAGCAGTGCTAAGTGATAAAAGGATCCCAGACAGCGCAAGAACGAGGTTTGTGGATACAAGCCTTAATGGACAGGACGTACACGGGCGACCAGAAGGTGCACGTGAGCACATCACCACAGAAGACACAAGCAATGCAACCATACGCACAGATAGTAGCACGTCTCATACGATGTCAAGAACAACTGCTGCTGATGATGCCCGTAGAGATACAAGTGACGATGAAGGTGGCAGACGGGCGCCGAATCGCCCCCAGACACTCACACATGGTGATCAGGATAACACGCTGGGCACACACGGAGGCAAAGATAATAGGGGTACGACAAGTGTCACCCATGGCAACAAAAACTCAAAGAACAGTCAACCCACAGGTGGGAAAGGCTGCACAGATAGCGACAAACATACAGTCAGTACCAAACATCCCGAGAGGACTAAACGAGTACCAACACGCCCCGCACGGCGCAGTGGAGGTGCTGAGAGCGATTTACGACACAGACGCAACCTAGCGTACTTCATGGATGACCCTCTGAACCCCTATACCGCATGGCCATTGCCGCCAAAGCGAGAGCATCCAAATATGGACACCGGGACTGCGGTGGACAGTACTCAGGCGAGTCCACGGCGCGGACGACAGACGCCGACGAAGGCGAAGCCAAATTGGAGATCGGTAGGCAGAAATGTGGACTATAGCCAAGTGACAGACAATGAGAAAGCGGGAAATAAGCACGCGGCTAAAAGTAGGAGTCTGGGACATAAACAGAGTTCTGGGGGCTGTGCCTCGGGGAAGGTAGCTGCAAGGAGGACCAATAGCAAAGAGCCTCAGGTACAGCCGAAGGATCGGAAAGCTATAGGTATGTTGGGCACAGACACAGAAGACGCTGCAGGGTCTGTTTGCATCCGAAAGGGGGTTTCTAGTGGGCGAACGGATAAGAAGGACACAGTAAGCAAACCCAAGCCCAAGCCACAGAATAGTATCACGCGTACGCGTACGCAGAGCGAGGGAAAATCGAAACAAAAGTCAGCTCAGCGGGGTACAGCGAAGGAAACACAGCCGAAGAAACGCACACGGCTGTCGGACCAAACAAAGCGCAAGCGAATATCTCTGAATAGAAAGGGCACGGGAAGCGCAGCGCGTGCATCGGTATGTATGGAATATCCAACTGTTTCTGAAACAGTCGATATAAACTCGGATGCATGGTGAACAGATGGTAGACACGCGCTCAAAAATGCATATATATATACATACACACACACACACACACACACACACACACACACACACACACACACACATATATATATATATATAGTAATAATATATATATATATATAGTATAAGTAGTATATATATATATATATATATATATATATATATACATATGTGAAACATTCTATACTTTTACTCCGTTTTTGAATGAGGGCACAACATTGTCTACCATGAAGTCGTATGTTTCTGGGAGTCTAGTCCCCCCCCCCTGGCTTCAAATGTCCTGTCCGCTATATCATGACTAGACCCGATGAATTCTACTACATTCTACACATATATACCCTAATTTTTACAAGGATGGTTTACTCTCATGGTACTCGGTGGCTGACCTTGTGTTATGTGAATGTTGAGCGGATGGATAGTCCATGGTTCCAATACATTTCAAATGACTTGCGCATGTGCGGTCTATGTGCGTCATCAAAAGGGGTCGGTTTTAGCGGAATAGTGTTGTATAATATACTCGTGTTGTCCGTGCTGTCTATTATTGTACGACCTAAGGTAGACTAGAAAATGTGAGCTGCATGGGAATATCTTTGTTCTTACCTGAAGCTGACAGCATAGACCCTTAATAACTGAATAATCCCAAACCTCTCATGATCCTTAATAGGCGTCTGTGCAATCGGCATGCAAGTGATATATGCAACTATGCTGGCGAATGACGTCTTGTTTGTGTAGTTGTGGGGGTTTTTTTTAGTGATTTGCGGCACGTCTTGTTGAGTAGTCATTTGGGGGCCAGGACTGACTATTGGTGTTGAAGTATTTATTCTTAATGATGAATTTTGCTTTGCTCGAGTGACATTTATCAACAAGGTTGTCCAATATCTGTTCGGGTCTATATATCGCCATCGATATAATAACGCACACATATTGCAGGCGAATGCTCATCCAGTATGTATTTCTGAGTAGAATCCTCTATGTGGGCGTTCTGCGTTTGCGTCGGTAGCCAACTCGTAAAGTCACGTACTGAAGTTGACTACACTGATAAATTAGAGAAACAAAAACACAATTGTATACAGTATCAAAGCATACGAGCACATTTTAAAGTTACGTTATACGTGTTTGATGAGCTAGCCGTGCAACATACGCAGTGCTCAGCAATTTGTATATGTAGTCAAAGGGCAAATCTAACACACAATGAAAAAGCGGACCCGTGGGGAAGCACATATTCTGTGTACGTGTATCTCCGTATGTGCTAAAGATAAAGATTATAACTTCCACCAAACAGGATGCGACTGATGAAGCCACCAACATTGCTCCAATGCCCAAGATTGGGACCAAGAAAGCGCCCACAACAGGCCAAAACGGACGAAGGCCTCGTGACGGTATAAACTCTGGTGCAGAATAAGTAAATAGGCTAGATCGGGATAAAGTTAAGCCAAAGTAAATTTCTAGTACCGTGTGAGTTGCGTGATATAGTTTCAGACAGCCCTTTCATTGATTACCAATGACCTTCGCACCGGTGTGGCATAATTCCTTTCCCAAAGTCACCATGGTAACCACTATTCAGGGTGGGTGTTCTAGTCTTTAAGGTTAACTTTGTGTGGCTCATCACTTCCGAGTAAAAATCGAATGAGTGTTTGGCACCCAATTTTTAGTCAGTCCTCGTTCTGATTTGCAAATTTATTCTGCAACGAGTATACCATGAGTGGTTCGGTTAAAGAAGCAACGAATGGTGCAAAATACGATATCGAAACAGGCCTGATTTACGATCGAGATGAGGATGCTACTGTTTAAGCTTCCACTGTAAAGCTACGAAATAGTTTTTAAATTCGAAATTGACACATAAACATATATCTGTATATACATAGAAGCGTTCATGCGAGTCTGTGCTATCTGATTATGATGTTTATAACAATATAGTGAGCTTCTGCCGTGTATCTCTCTTCTCATGAAAAAGGCCAGAGGCCGTCAAGTGATTCTAAGCACACTTGGAACGAATGAACGCGAAAACAAACAAATTTTCCATATCAATGCAATTCGAGAACATGATCCCGGCTTAGTATCTAGAACACAGTTCACAGTCTGAATGAATGTTCTCACACTATATAAATCATTACATTGAACTCCGTCCCTGGAGAATTTTGCACAAGATAAGAAGTACTAAGAAAATATCAACAAGAATGTAATGGATCACAAATATTAAGAAAGGTACTGAAGTACACTATTCCCCTGCTTCCTACGAGC